AAATTGTGTCACATTGCATTTTGCTAGCCTTATTTGAATGTTATTAAAGCATTTCCGAAAGTCCGGAACGAAAATTTAGAATTATAGCAAAAGTTAGGGTAGGTAAAAACCATGAATTGAAGACTCGAACGATTTTTCAAGCCAGCATCAAAGGAATCCGAACAAAAACATTGCTGCTGGAAAGAGGAAGATCTTCATAGAACACTTTTTAGAGGGTTTGTCTATCTTTATTTTGAATGATTTGGGGGTTAGGTCTAAAAAATGCAGCGAAGTTTCGGACCCACCTAATAGTTTAACACTGCGCAGAATGAGAATCCTCAAAAGCTTTCGGAGACATTCCATGCAGATTTTCTCTTCTTTCGATGGTGATTTCTTCATTCCGGTTTAGCCAACTTCTAAGTAAATGACCGAAACTACGACCCATGGTCTGCCATGGCCAACTTTCGCTATTTTTGCCGATCCTCCAAAACAGAACAAGTTACCGATGGGTAGAGCGTCTACAGAACACAAAATACCTCTTCTCCATAGCTCGTCATAATTGATGGAATTTTTATTAAGACCGCCGAATATCAGCAGCCCTGGGTCGGGCACAAACTCATCAAACACTGCTGAATCTCCGGAATTTGAAGTTCCCAAAAAGAGGTCATGGTTTACCACTAATCGTACAAAACAAATGAGCGTTCACGGATTCGAAATTTTTTAGAAATCAATTCTGAATTTTCTGGTTGCAGCCTGAGGCGCTTCAAGAAACATGAGTTGTGATGGTTTTGCCCTCGAAGACTCTACGAATCGGAAACAAAAAAAGCCTCTTGAAGAGAGGAGAAAAAGCTGCACCAAATAACACCCTGAGCTGCTCGCCGATGGGATGTTCTATGAGGTTTGAGTTGACCAGATATGGAATTTGATGATCGAAAAAATAATTCAAAATTTTCAAAAACAGGCTGTAGAAGGAAAAAAATATTTTCGTGTCCTTTACATATGCTCTATCTGCATGTTACTTGGGCCTCTTCTGGAAACGATAAAATTTGGAAAATCAGCGGAACCCATGGCAAAAACCGTGGGTCGTAATTTTTGGTCATTTTCTGAGAGCTCGTTGCTAAACTAAAATGACGAATTCACCATTCGGAAGAGGATGAAAAGCTGCATCGACGCGCAGAAGCTTGAGTATTCTATTCGCGGGGTTTACGCTCTTCTGAAAGCGAATTATTTTCGGAACACCTAATAGTTACAAAGCGCAAGTAACCTACATAAAGCAGTCTGCTGTCAAGGAGACTTGTCGTCTTCGACGGCCAAGACAAGAGCTGCTTTGGCCATCAAAGATTATGGAGGCGGAGCACACGTTTGAGGCGGCAAATGAATTGTGGCCTTCGGCAGGTCGAAATATCATCAAAGTGAGCAGTCATAGGAGGGAACGCTTGAATCCGCTCAGTTGAGCAGTCTCACCCTCAAACAGGACTCAATCTAGAGGAGAGGGCCGTTGTAAGCTTGGTTTTCTACTGATTTCAAAAATGTTGCGGTGCATTGTTATCCCCCTCATCATGCAAAGGAAGCTCAGTCGAATCACACCGAGATGCGACGAGTATTGTTGCATAGAGCTCCAAACGGTGGCCCCGACTAGCTTTCCATCTGACAAACCTTTGTAGAAGAATATGAGCTTTCTATAGTATTTTGGATGTTCCTCAAGTCGCTAATTCGTGGTGGTGTACATGAACACTGGCACTGTGAGATATACAGGGTGTCTAAAAAAATGTATTTACTGTTTGATTGTAAATGACTCTCTTGTAATGAAGTTTTCGAGAAGCTTTAGGTGACATTTTGTAGAGCGAGGTTAAACTTGGATTTACAGTATGAGGCGAATCATCGATGCTTAGATGATTCGCTCCATACTGTAAATCTAAGATTAACATCGCTCTACAAAATGGTACCTAAATCTTTCAAAACACTTCATTACAAGAGAGTTATTTACAATTGAACTGTAGGTACATTTTTTTGGGATATCCTGTATACAGCAAGCCGATCTGAACTGCCTTACTTCTCACAAGGAAAGGATACTCGGTGACTGTGGCCATTAGGAGTTGGATGTAAACCGTAAGATGCAAGTTGAAACGCTGATTCTGAATCTGTGCTCGATATCTGCGAAACGCTCTTCTGAAGGAAGTTATGAACTTTTTTCGTAGAAAATTTGCGCAGTTCTGTGCAGCTAAAATCACCAAATTCGTTCTAGGTTACCGATTGGAGCTATTGAAAGAAATTTCAAAAGGAATACTATTGTATTACTCTTATCTAAATCATATTCAGCATTTGAGAAGGAAAGAAAAAATTTCAATAATGATTTTGACCCTCCGCAGTAGCGCAATTAATTTATGAAAAAATAATCATAACTCCATCCAGGCTCTCGTTTAGCAGATATGGAAGACAGTTTTTGAATCAGCATTAAAAGGCGCATTTTTTGATATACAAGACGTTATGAACGGCTATGGTCACCAAGTATCCTTCCCTTGTCAGATGTTATTTGATCCTTGTTCTCTTGAGCATGTTGTTAACTAAAACCAGTAAGCTTCTTTTCTCCACTAGAGATATGTTGTATTTGCCGAAACAAAAAAAATCATCATTCTGGGGGATAAACTCGTGATAGACAAGAAAAGAGATTAATCAGTGTATTGTTCAATAGTATGTGCATTGGATCGTCCCGGGTTCTGCTATTCCATTTTTTAAACTTCGTAACTTTTTGCTATCCCAACAGAGGTACTTCGTTCAGTTTAGGAAAAAAAGTCTTTGGCTTTGTTTTAGAATCTCGGCCATTTTCTTTCTTAGAACGATCACAGAGATACAAGCGCAGGAAGAAGACCAATACCATCTTGGATTGAGTCGCCAGAAATCTGAAGTGCTGCAAGAAAGCTAGGAGTTGTTAGAACGTCGTCTTTGTGGCTTATTCTTCTTAAGTAAAGAGCGTTCTAATGAAAAGTTATTTTTCATAAACCAACTTTTCTTACATTATAGATGGAAAGGGATGCTCAAATGGCTACAAAATATTGACTACTAGCTGGCTTACCCGGCTCCGCCGTATGTTCCGAATAGAAAATTCCATTTCTTAACCGATCCAGACCAAACTTGCCACACATACACTTCGGGCCCCTGCGGGTGTCACAGTCCACTTTTCGTTATCGATCGATGTCGATTTTATCAATTTTTTGCAAAATTTGAGCTAGGGGGCTGAAATTTGGCAGAGGGGTGTAATCGACATGCTCGATTACCCCCCTGTGCCAAATCCCAGCCCCGTAGCTCAAATTTTGCAAAAAATCGATAAAATCTATATCGATCGATGACGAAAAGTAGCCTATGACACCCGCCGGGGCCCGAAGTGTATGTGTGCCAAGTTTGGTCCGGATCGGTTCAGAAATGGAATTTTCTATTCGGAACATACGTACAGACAGACAGACAGACAGACAGACAGACATACAGACATGCAGACAGACAAACAGACATTCAGCTTTATATATAAGATACTGGTCTATATCTCGATTTTTTCTCAAACATTTACGCAAAACCCTTTCACTTTGCACATCTCGACCAAAACAAGAAGAAGCCCTTGCAACATCTCTTGAACCAGCGCCTTTCTTACAGATGCGAAGATTTTGACCTACTTCCGCCCATTCAAGGAGGACTCCATCCCGGTTTATCTACCTCAACCACTGCTAAGCGCTCAACTTCGCCTGCACTTCATGGCCTAGATTTTTTAGCTTCACGTCCCTTTTCTCACGCTATTCGGACCTTGACTAAACCTATGCATTTCACATTTTGCTCACTATAATGCTCACCTCCATCCTAGAGTATCGCTAACTAGCAGAGGCTCAAACTTTACGAAATCCACTTTGTCGGTTGAAATTCAGCCAGTAATGTAAGTGCTGGAAAACTGCGAGCCAGAAATACGGGAAAACAGATTTGGTCTGCTTACCCTGTTGGTGGGAGCTTTGCAGACTATAACGGTCTGGCTCATGGCACTAAAATTGCAGTTTACCTTACTAGATGCGCAAGTGCTTAGCTGTTCCTGATTTTGGATCTTTGAGACAACAGTAACTGTATGTTGAGAGTTGCAGAATCGAGCTTCATATGTAAACCTCAGATTTCCTCATTCATTCTCGAAGACATGCTTTAAGTTTATTTGAGTACTTTTGAGCAAAAAAAATCATTACTTGATCTTGGCTGAGGAATGGAAAAGCTCGCAGAACTCACAGAATTCGTGTTGCAACTCTCTGCCATAAAGAAGACGAACAATAAGCAGTTTCGTACTCAATTTGCGAAACCTTTTGTGCTTTATAGCTTTGTAATGTTGATATACGGTAAGGTCACGACAATATTGCTTGAAAGTGATTTCATGATTTTCTCAGTAACTCTGAGCACATTGCTGATAGAGGATTCGAGTAAGCAGAAAGAGATAAGAATTCTGCGAACTCGGCGAAACCGTTCTCATATTTGGCTGAACGATATCATAGTGATACGGATGAGTTGGATCCGTTTCGTGTTGATTATATCTACGGCTTCGACTGCTGCTACCTTACTGTTAGGTTTTTTGGCCAAGATTTCAACGTTTTGTGATGATCTTTATCTAGCGTACCCGATTGAGGCGTAAAATGAATACAAATAAGTAAATAACTGTACTCTATATTTATTCTGCACCTACTAATCCGCAAACAGAACACGCTTGATTCTTGAGGATTATTTTCCCAATTCATTGGAGCGTTAGCATTGCGTTTCTGGTTTTCTAGAATTCAGCAACTGAGATTACTCTAGTCCCTTGATCCTCATAAGTTTTCAAAGCAAACAATGCCTCCAAACATCGACATCTCTCGAGAACATTCTGACTCAATATTATGCAACAGCATGGCAGTGTGCACACGTATGCTTCTCGTGTTACCTACTTGAATTGGCGATTAGACCCACACTGTCCTTACTGAGAGCCAGGTTATAATGTGCTATTGATTAATGAAATAAAGCCAGTGATGTCGTCAATTTTTCGAACTCTACAGGTAGGTATGACCTTTGCTGTGATGATCCCCTGTGAGCTTGTCCTCATTCTAGGTAAATATGCACTTTCCCCAACCCCAAAAGCAGTGCAGTTGTCATCTAAATGATCCACCACCTTGGACCGGTGAGATACATGGACTTAGCCAGGTACTTTTTTGGTAGACAAATTGCTCTGTTTGTCGTAAAGAAAAGTTCCAGGCTTTGTTAAGTGATACTCCTGTAATGAAAGCATTTTGGTGGTTGATCATGGTAATATGCATAGTTTGTGGCATTGTTACGACAACACTGGTTGTCAAAGAATATGTAGACGGTCCTACAGCCACTTCCACAACGATACGATTGGTGAGCAATCTCTGCTCTGATTATTTGCTTAATGAATTTACCATTTATCTGCTCCTGGAGCGTATTTTATTTCTGCAACCTCAAATACTTGTTTTTTTTCCTTCCAAATCGTTCCAAAAATATGATGAGAACTTCTCCAAAAAACTCTCATTTCCAAAGATGTGCTTCACATGAATCACAACATTCTCTTTTCTCCTTTCTTTCGTCTTTTCTCTCTTCTTTGCCTTTTTGAGTTTCTACACTTCTACAGCTTTCCATATCCTTTTCTTCGCAACTTCGTGTGGTTTTCTTTTGTCATGCTAAATAAGATAAGTCTGAAACTTTCAAGGTTTTTCGCAAAACAAACACACAAGCATTGTTTTCCGTGAGAGTTTTCTCGTGTTTTCTAGCGTGTTTTTATATTGCGTTTAATGCAAAAGTTCTGCCGCAACATTATTTGAAAATCATGACTTCTTGCTCTCCCAGCGACTTGCGTAAGATTCTGATGGTTAGAGGAGATCATTCTCTCTGTAAACGTGCCTTTGCTGCTCTACAATAAAATTTTGAGAGAGCAGCAGGAGGATAAAACACCTCAGTTTCGTTCATTATGAGTTAAATTGCTCAAAATCTGAAACTTGCTATAAGATTCGGAGCAGGCAGTGTTATAATTCTTAAAATCCATTTCTTTCAATTACAGAATTTGTGTTGAATGAGCATCTTTGTGGAGACTTAAGATTTTTGGGTAGCAAGGCTATGATTTCTGGGTTGTTAGGCTGTTAAACATCCGAAGCTTACTGCAAATTCGGAGCAAGCAGTATTGTAAGTCCCAGTATCCACACTTTCCAGCAGTGCAGAGTTTGTACCACATTGGCATCTCTATGAAGAGTTATGATTTCCGAAAAAATGCCAAAAATATAATTCGCTGTCTTGTATTACTGACCCACATCTTATAACTTTTCACAGAGAGGTCCATTTGATACAAACCCTGCAGTGTTAAAAGGGCGGATCGTAAGACTTACAATACGATAACTGCTGCTCCAATTTTGAGAATAAGTTTCAAGTTTCTAGCAGGCTTGAAATGATAAAGCTGTAGTGATTTTATTCTCCTGCTTCTCTTTCAAAAGTATCGTTTTATTAGAGAGCAGCAAAAACATTAAAAAGATTATTCTTTCCTCTATTTAGTAAAGTCAAGCTTGTGCAAATCTGGCGGGTGAGCAAGAAGTTATGATTTTGAAAATGATGCCACAGAACTCTTGCATCAAGCTAATATATGGCTTCTTCAATAAAAATGGGACTATAATTTTACTGGAATTTTCAAAAGTACATCATCACAATATAAACTTGATTACTGTGGACGATGTATAACTTTTTCCTACTGAGCTGAAGCTTTGCTAGAAAAGCAAGCTGCGGCAATGTTCCTTGTTTCAATGTTTATTTCATGTGCTATAGAGGTTGCAACAGAGGCTTTTTTTTTCTCGTAAAACCAGTGCAGAAAACATGTCGTTTATCAATCTATGTATGCCATGACTATGGAGATTATGTATTAGGAAATATGATTTGTTTCTGCACGTTTTGCAAATTTTTTTGCGATCCGCAGTAGCGAATGTTGATACGAACTGGGAGGTGGCTGCAGATTGAGTGTTCTGCGAATTTTATCTCGAAATATATTCTACAAAAACTGTCTTGATTTCGAAGCCAAAAAAACGAAAGCGAGATATCAGGCTAAATCTCGAGTTTTTCTTCGACAAAGGAACTCTAATTCAAACTATGTACAATGAAACTAGCTGACAATTATGGTGGCGGCTTCTCTCAAGCAAAATATTGATAATTATCCAGCGCCCTACACCAGGCGCAATCTCTTTCGAAGAGCTGAACAGAGTTTCATCCGTGGAATTTTGTGGGAAATTTACGACTTTTTTTCTTAGAGAAGTTGCCGCCTTAGGAGGGTAAAAATCTTTGCCACTCCCTTCCTTCCCTAAATTGCTCATTTTGAAATCTTTTCCTACTCCCCGTCGGGCCTTCACACTGTGGCATTACGTCGTTGCCTGTGCGTTGTAAAGGAGTCTTTGTTATTGAGCCATTTCGAAAAACTTCTAAGAAACTGAACCGAATCTCTGTTTACATGGATTATTTTATAAATTAGGTTGATGCAAAAATAATGAGCATTCTTCCATGCTTTTTCTCACAACAACTTTTCTAATCAACTTCTTTGGAACAGCAAACATAGCGTTGAAAGCACTCTTCATTTCTATCTAATGATAGTTGAAAGGAACTTCAGATCTCATCTGTTAAAAAATTACGGACCTTCAAATGACTGCATCCAATATCAGAATTTCACTGCATTTTTTCGGCCCGAATTCAAGTGCAAATAAACTAAGCTTTTTCGAAAATTCAGCTACTTATGTAAAAGGCCTTGTCTAGATTGTGCGCACTCATTGTATGAAATTATCTAGACTAAGATATCGGCGCCTCAGCATGTGTATTTGCGGTTATTCTACAGTGCTGGGAATAATTATAAAGACGATCTAGAAACTGTCGTAATTTGCATTCTTGTTGATGAAACTTCCGAAACTTCGCTGTATAGTGCGCATGTTAGCCTACCATGACCATTCGAAACGGCTTCCAATTTTGTTGAGTTCGAATGGAGAAAAATAGAAAAATTTGAAAAACCCCCTAGCGAAAGCTGGACAAAATTATAAAGATATCTGATTTCTCAAACACTACCACATCCCTTGACTCTAATAATCTTTTGTACAGTTACATACTAAAATATGAAACATTCGCAACATATGCGACCTGTCCATCTTTTCAAAGAGAAATGTTCACTGCATTTTTTGCTTTCAAGAGCACCGAAAGTCAATCTGCTTCAACAAACAGCTGGTTTGAGGAGCTTTCAAGCTCTTGTTCATTACAAATAATAGTTATGGAATCCACTGATCCTTCTGGATAGATGAGATGAAGAGTGCTTTCGTAATTATGCGTAATCGCTTATATGGACGAACAGACTTCAACCTCAACAGAGCTTGTCACGCTTTTAACCACAAAACTCAGTTTGCAATGTCTATAAAGTGCTGAACTCGATTTAGTACATTGCCTATATGGTAATGCAGCTTTCGCAACAATTTTCAGATTTTCCGTAATGATGCGGTAGCGATTTAGACCTGGATAACTTTCCACGAATACTCTCTGCGAGCAATGGATTCGAGATAATCATAAATCTCACTATTTTCCTCGTTGTTTCATGTCAGGTTCTACTCAAAGAATGATTAACCAAGATTTCGAAGTTCTGGGGGTCTCCCGTTCTATCTCGTATGAGTTAGCTACGATTATGCAGGGTGCTCCACTCAACATTCAGTAAATGACAACTGCGGCTGAACCATATGCCAACTTCGAAATTCTTTCCTAACTATGCACACAAGTTTACTGTTGTACAGTCGACGTAATGGCTACATACAGTATTTTCTGTTCCTTCAAAATTGAGGTGGTTTGAAAGCGTGCATATGTTGCAAATGTTTCATATTTTAGTATGTAACTATGCAAAAGAATATTAGAGTCAAGGGATATGATAGTGTTCAAAGAAACCAGGTGTCTTTATAATTTTGTCCAGCTTTCGGTAGGAGGTTTTTCAAATTTTTCTATTTTTCTTCGTTCGAACTCAACAAAATTGCAAGCGGTTTCGAGAGGTCATGGTAGGCTAGCATGCGCACTATACAGCGAGCCAAAGCTTTGCTCATTTCTGTAGCGTAAGGTTAGGACATCCTAGTGAAAGTTTTTGCAAAAACATGCAGCTGTCCAGTAAGCAGAAGTTCAGAAAATTCTTCAGTTCGGGCCTTTGAGGCCCACTGAAAAAAAGTTGTGCAGCTGACAACTTCAGATTTCATATTCTTTTTCTTTTCGCGAATCTTCTTTGCCCGAGCACTTCTCACCTCTGATTGTTTTACCGGTTTGCGACTACAAGATAAGCAACTTATTTATACTAACAAGCTTTGAAAGGAGTTATGATCTGTCAGAAACAAAGACTTAGAAACACCTTTTTTTGTTTTTCATTCCATATTTTTCAGCCCTTTGTGATGTGAGTATAAATGAATGTCGCTATATTGCAAAAAATTTGCTATTTCTGAAGGTCTTTTTCGAATTCAAAAATGTAGAGTATTTAGAAAGTCATAGAGCGTCAGAATGAGCATTAGCAAAACGTCATTATTTTTGCAAACTGATTGTTTGTCAATCCTCGGGTGTACACACCTATGCAGCGGTGGCGAACCGGGGGGGGGGGGGGAAGGGGCAAGAATGGGTAGCGAAATTTTTGAGTTACTTACATGAGTTACAAAGATGTGGAAATGACTTCTTTATCTTATGATTAGAACAATTTTTTATGACTTTCAAAAATTCAATTTAGTTTGTAAAAAAAATTTTTTTTGGATTCGGGATCATGATCCTACAAATAATTTGAGAAGCATTTCAAAAGAAAAGAAATCTTCGGCGTGCGTTGCTGACGCAAGTACCCACACCCGAAAAAAACGTTTGTTGCGCCCCCTCCCCTCACCCGAACGGAAATCCTGGGACGGCCACTGCTGTGTAGTTGTGAGATTATTGATTATGTGGTGTAGTGGGCCATTTGTCAACCTCTTAGAATGGTATTTCATTTTTGCATTTCGACCCTTGTGCAAGACCGTGTTTGACCACTTCACTTGGTCAGCAATTTCTTATTTTGATCAGGGGCACTATCCAGATGAGCGTGGTGGGGTTTGACGGGTACAACAGCAGGGATAGTAGTCGCTCAAGTCAACCTGCAAAAGATGAAGCTAAAAACGAGAGAATCGCTTCAGAAGATAAAAGCGACTGTGGCTTTTCATCATGATGACAGATTCTCGACACTTCTGTGTATCGATTCCTGGACTTGGTCTTTTCAGACAACCCAACTTGATTAGCGGAGCCACATAATCACTCGTATCTTTTGTTTCATAAGAAGTACCGGTGGCGGGTGAGGCTAGGAGTCTGTACCTCTCTCGCGAGCGTGCTGT